GACTTATTAATAAATATTAATAAACATTAAACATTATTCAACATGGCTGATAGTCTTTCCTAGAAACATACAGTCTTTCCTAGAAAGTGTTACATGTATACTTAAGGAAAATATGTACTCTCCTATTGTTGGGTGGAGTGTTTTGAATATGTCTGTTAGATCCAATTGGTCTATAGTGTTCAAGGAATTTGTTTCTTTATTGCTTCTGTTCTGGTTGTTCTATCCATTATTGAAAGTGGAATATTGAAGTCTCCAACTATTATTGTAGATATGTGTATTTCTCCATTTAATTCTGCCAATGTTTGCTTCATGTATTTTGGGATTTTGATGTTTGGTGTATATATGTTTATAATTTTTATATTAAAATCTATTTTGTCTGATATTAGTATAACCACCCAGCTCTTTTGGTTACTATCTATATGGACTATCTTTTCCCATCTTTTCATTTTCAACCTCTCTGTCTTTAGATCTAAAATGAGTTTCTTGTGATAGCATTATAGTTCGGTCATGTTTTTCATCTGTTCTTCAAATCTATGCCTTTTAATTGGGGAGTTTAATCCATTTACACTTAAAATAAATACTGAAAAGAAAGGACTTTTGCCATTTTGGTCTGCATGTTTTACAGCCTTTTTTTGTTTTTGCTCATTTTCTCCATTACTACTTTTCTTTGTGTTTACCTGATTTTTTTTGTAATGACACCTTTTGATTCTCTTCTTATTTGTTTTTGTGGATATTCTATAGATAGTTTCTTTGTGGTTGCCCATGGGAATTACATATCCTAAAGTTATAAGAATCTATTTTGAGTTAATGGCTTAATTTTAGTTGCATATAAAAACTCTACTGCTTTACATATCTACCTCCCGTTTTATTTTTTGATGTCACAAATTACATTCTTCTTCATTGTATACCCATTTACATAGATTGATAGTTATTTTATGTGTTTGTCTTTAAATTCTGTAGGAAATAGTGGAATTATAAAACAAAATTACAATAATACTGATTTTTATATTTGCCTGTGTATTTACCTTTATTGGAGATGTTTTTATCATTGTATGGATTTAAGTTACTGTGTAGCCTTCTTTCACTTAAAAAAAGTTTTTTTTTCTTTTTTCCCATCCAGTTGCTGTGATTTCAGCCTTATTTCATTTTAATATGAAGGACTGCTGTTAGTGTTTCTTGCAGGGCAGGCCTATTGGTAATGAACTCCCTCAGCTTTTGTTTATCTGGGAACGTTTTAATTTCTCCATTTCTGAAGGACACTTTTGTTTTGTAAAGAATTTTCAGTTGATAGGGTTTTTTCTTTCAGCTTTTTAAATATATCATCCCATTGCCTTCTGGCCTCCAAGGTTTCTGCAGAGAAATTGGTAATCGTACTGAGGATCCCTTGTACTTGACAAATTGCGTTTCTCTTCTGGTTTCAGGATTCTCTCTGTCCTTCAACAGTTTGATCATAATGTATCTCAGTGTGGGTCTCTCTCAGTTTATTCTACTTGAAGTTCCTTGAGCTCTTAGATTTGTAGATTCATCTCTCATCAAGTTTTGGGATTCTTCAGATAATCTGTCTCTTTGTCTTTCTCTTCTCCTTCTATGATTCTCATAATGCATATGTTGGTCTGCTTGATGGTGTCCCACAAGTCCCTTAGGCTCTGTTCACTTTTCTTGTTTTTCTTTTTCTCAGACTTGATAATTTCAGTTGTCCTAGCTTCAAATTTCTGTTTTCTTCTGCCTCTTCAAGTCTGCAATTGAGCCTCTTTAGTGGATTTTTTTTTTTTGGTCAGTCTCCTTCTAGGGAATGGAGTTTTTATTTCAGTTACTTTACTTTTTAATAAAAGCTATAGAATTTCTATTTGGCTCCTTTTAATAATTTCTCTTTCTCTGTTGATATTATCATTTTGTCCCTATGTCATTTCCTGATTTTTTCTAGTTCTTTGTGCATGTTTCTCTTTAGCTCTTTGAGCATATTTAACACAGTTGTTTTAAGACTGTCTACTAAGTGTAATGCTTGCTTCTTCAGGAACAGTTTCTACCACTCTGTTTTCTTCCTTTCAGTGGGCCATATTTTTCTATTTCTTTGTATGCCTGGCGGTGGTTTTGTTGAAAGTGGGCATTTGAAAAGGTAGCCACCTCCCCCAGTCTTTGCAGACTGGCTTTTGCTGGAACAGGCCGTTACTGAGTAGCTGGATGTGCCCTGAGACTGGGATCAGCCTGAGGTGAAGGCCTGAGGTCTTCTCAGGTATTTTCTGAGCATGCATCTCGCCTGTGCCTCATTGTGGCTTTTTCAATTCCCCTGTATACACAACTGCTTTTCTGTGTCTTAATTTCCCAAATTAAGTGTCTCGGCTCAGCTTCTCCTCCAGGCTTTATGTGGTCTATTGTATGTCTCTATCTGTACTCTCTTGCCTTCTAGAAAATTTGCTTTTTCTCTAATTATACATATCTTTTAACTGTAATACATTTCAGTTCAGTTAAATGCCTCATTTACCATGTTATGTGTTAAGTTTATCAAGTAGTAAAAGTACCCTTTTAGATATAGTTCAGTTATTATATGCCTCATTTAATTGTTAAATTCATCAACTAGTAAAATTACCCTTTCATGTACAGTTACTATAAATTTGCATTTATATAAATGTTTATGAAATACTGCAAAATAACTTTGAGGTCTTAAATGAAGGAAAAAGAACCTATGTGAAGAACTTGTAAGAAATAGAGATGATTATCTATCGAATTTAACAATGACTAAAAGCTACATTGAAGAGAAAAAAAATGATTTGGATGCAGTTATGAAGATAGCAAGAGAGTTAAAATCAGCACCTTCTCTGAGAACATATTGTGACCTTAATCAGGTAATTTAATACTTTACAATGTGAATTATTTCTGTGGTAGCTTATTTTATATGCTTTGGAATGATAGTTAAGACTTAAGAATATGTTTTCCAGATTATCCTAACCTATATTATCATCAATTTAGATGATTTAGAATTCTTAGGTGTTTGAAATCTGAGACAAACACTATAAAATGTGTATAACCTTTTACTTTTTTACCACTTTGGGAGATAGTGTAATAAAGTCTTTGTAACACATGATCTGACAGCTAGTAGGGTGACACTGAGGTGAAATTTGTGGTTTCTAGGATAACCTGGATAAAAAACGAGGGCAAATAAGACAGACAAACCAAAGCAGACTGTGTTTACTTCTCATAAACATCTTAGCTATAGCTGTCTACTCTTGATTTAAAAATGAAATTCAAGATCTCATTCAAATTTTTCTCTTCCCACCTCTTCAGTGCAAGTCAAGAGACAAGCTGCTTCAGCTATCTCCTATCATCTAGTCATGTGTCTAAGGGGCAGGACTGGGCAAAAAAACAACAACCGTGTTTCTTGTAGTTTGGCAGGACAAGGTTAATCGTAGATCGTCTTTGCTAATTTCTGCCTCCATAAGGATGTAGATGGTGCTCTAGTCATCTTGGCTCCTAAGGGTCTCGTTTCCATAGGTGATCAAATATTGGGACTGAACTGAAATACAGAAGCCATTGGTTTACCTGGCTCCAAAGTCTTTAACTTTAAATGAAAGAAAGAGAGTTGGCCTCCCTGAATTGTAGTTCTAAAAACAATGAGAGTCATTTCCTGTGTATTACATGTGAGGCACTAGGAGGTAAAAAAAATGATAAAATTTGGTCTTCACTCTAGTTAGTCTAGTTAGGAAAAGAGAACAAAAAAGAAAACATTTGAAGATAGCAATACAGGTAGAGAATGAATCTGATCAGAATCTTCTGTTTCTGTAGCTCTATCCCATTTCTTAGCTAATGTCTGGGTTTTTTTGGTTTTTTTTCCTCAAGATGGTCTCGCTCTTTTGCCTGGGCTAGAGTGTAGTGGCATCATCAATAGCTCACTGCAACCTCAAACTCCTGGACTCAAGTGATCCTCGTGTCTCAGCCTCCTGAGTAGCTGGGACCATGGGCACGTGCTACCACACCTGGATAATTTTCTATTTTTAGTAGAGATGGGGTCTCGCTCTTGCTCAGACTGGTCTTGAACTCCTGAGCTCAAGCGATCCTCCCGCCTCGGCCTCCCAGAGTGTTAGGATTACAGGCATGAACCACCGCGCCCAGCCTCATCAATATTTGTGACAAAAGCAAATTCACGCATGAATGACACTTCTTTTTTGATTCTAGATTATCCGAACTTTGACGTTAACGTTAGAGAGTGAATTGTCACAAGTTAGTTCTCTAAAACGAAGGAACCCTCCCAGGTGAGTAAGTCATAAATCAGGAGACTGTAACAAGTATAAAGATGTGTTAGACCCTAAATTTATTAAAATAGCAATTAAAGATTCAAAATTTGAGTCACAAATATTTCCCAAGTTCGCAACAAAACTAAGATAACTGTAATTTGTGATAAATTAGGAAGTTATTTAAATGTTTTCTTTTCAGTTAGCTATTTCAATGTTAGCAACTGATTTTTATTTTGAGAAAGTAATAAACTTGTATTAGAACATTTGCTTGTAAATGTTTTATTTTAGATTGATTATGAATTGCAGTGAGATCATCTGTATGTTCAACGATATGGGAAAGATTGAATTTGAGGACTTAGTAAAGTAAGTATAATATCAATATGCCATTAGTGTCTGACAGCACCTGTGTTATCTAAGAGACAGAAAAATTGATGTTGAGTGTAGTTCGATAAAAAAGCTGGAAAATAATTTAAAGGATAAAATAGCTTCTATAGTTAAATTCTATGTATAATATTTTAAAGGCCTAGAAGGGTCAGCAAGCATTGAACATTGCTAGACACTGACACCCTAGATATTGTGATATATGTCAGAGACATTACAATAAATACAGGAAGACAGCTATGTAAACAATAATATTAATAATCACTTCTCGGCCTTTTGGCTAAGATTAAGTGTAGACATGTAAACAATAAAATGCATGATTTCTATGATGATGTATACAGAATTTAGTGGACGTGCAAAGGAAGGGAATGATCAGTTCTTCTTGGGATAACAGGGGACTTGGAAAGAGGTTTTATTTTTCCTTATCTGTGAAAAATGAGTAGCAAGTGGAAAGGAGAACAGAAGGAAAGTAGCATCAATATATGGGCAGTGAAATAGCATGCGGTGTTCAGGGAGCTGTATATATTTAATTTCATTCCATATGTCCCTGAGGATACATAGAATAAACATAATCCTACAGATTTTGTATGCTGTCTGATGGTGTTTGAACTTTATTTTCTAGGTTCATGCTGTCCAGTATGGTAGCCCTTGACTACATGTGGCTGTTTAAATTTAAGCACAAATAGTTAAAACCAAATAAAATTAAAATTCAATTTCAAATGCTCAGTAGCTGCGTGTGGCTAGTGGCTACCTGTCTCAGTCCATTTGTGCTGCTATGACAAAATATCTGAGAGTGGGTAACTTACAAAGAAGAGAAATTCATTTCCTCACAGTTCTGGAGGCTGGGAAGCCCCAAATCAAGGTGCTGACAAGTTTGATGCTGACAAGTGGTGCCTCGAATGCTGTGTCCTCACACAGCAAACATTGGTTCTCAGATGGTGGAAGAGCAGACAAGCAAAAGCGGGTCTAAGCTAGTTCCCTTTGGCCCTTTTATAAGGCACCGATATGTTTGTGGGGACAGAGCCCTCATGACTTAATCACTTCCCTCAAGGCCCCGCCTCTGAATGTCTCCACAATGGGGATTAAGTTTCAACATGAATTTTAGAGCAGACATTTAAAGCTACTATATTAGAAACATAGCACGTTTCCATTATCACCAAAAGTTCTGTTGTACAGTATAGCCCTGGGCAGTAGAAAGCCACTAAAAGGTTTTAAGCATGAAAGTAAAAATAATTAGGTTACATTTTAAAAAGATAACTCTGGTGGCCATTTAGGGGATTATTTGGGGGAGAGTATAACAGTGGAGGCTGAAGGATTGGTTAGGTTATTGTATCAGTAGACTGAGCCAATGACGAGAACCCAAACTTAGGTAGTAGCACAGGATAGGACTGAGAATAGATATGACAAATGCTAAATAACAAACATGAATAAAACTTAGTAAAGTTGGAATGTGAAACTTCAAATTAGGAAAAGGGAAGCATCCTCAATGATTTACAGGTCTGGCTTTAGTGACTAAGTTGACAGATTGTGGTCAATTATTCATCAAGATGAGGAATACGGAAGAAAAGTAAGTTGGGAGGGGAAGGTAGTGGATATGTTGAGTTCCTATTGTTTACCAGCTCTCTAGGGAGAAATGTGTCAAGCACAGTTGGATATATGTGCTGAAACTTAAGAGATCTTGGACTCGATTCTGGGTTTACAAGTAGTACAGAATATGGATGTAGTAGGAAGCCCCAAAAAGGAAGTGAGTTCCTTCACTTGGGTTTGTCTTCAAGGGAAATGGTCCCCCCAAGAAGCATCACATTCATTACCTTAGGGAGCAAATCAGTCTGGCCCACAGTTTTTCGATCTCAGAAACATACATGGGCATGTCTTCTCTAAGCCAGGTAAACTCATAAAAGCCAAGTTCACAAAACTGATGTGTAGTCAAGATGCCAGTTTGTTAACTTAATGGACAAATTTAACAGGAACTAGAATATTTATGTTGGCATTCTTTTTGCCAATACCCGCAATTGTCCCAAGTTCCTTTGTTTCTAGTCGTCTTTGGAATAAAGGGAATAAGATTAATCAAATAGCTTAACAGCATTAGGCTAACATAGCTCCTCTCCAGCTGAGGGAAGATCTTGCCAGATGAACTGGAATACCAGTCCTTCGGCCCAGATCATCTTCCCTCAGTGCTTGGGTGAGCTCTGCCCCATGTTTGTCGCTGTTGCTTCGCTTTCTGTGCTTCCATGGGTAATCAACAACTCTTGCCGTCAGTGTGTTCTTTAGGTATTTTCATAACTTGAATATGGTTACTATCCAATATTTTTAAGACTGAAAACTATTCTGTCTCTTGAAGAGTCTATACTGATCTTCTGTTGATTTTAAATTTGACTTTGGGAGCAGTTTTTAAAAAATTTTTCCTAGTTCTTAGGGAAAGTGTTACTGTAACCTGCCTGTACTGATTACATGATTGTAGGTGGTAGTTAAACCACGGGTTTGCCCAGTGAGAGCAGGTGTTGAAATAGGTCAAGGACAGTACCCTGAACGATATTAAAATTTAAAGCAGGAAAAGGGTAATCTGAAAAATATAAAAAAACAAAACTGAGAAGGAGCAGGCAGAGAGGTTGAAGGAGAACAGAAGAAAGGGGTGTTCTACAAGTCAGAGGAAGGTGGTTAACTGTTAAATATCTTAGTAAGGTCTAATGGGAGTTGTTATGAAAAGAGATGTTTCGATTGCAAGGTTGTGTACGTACGTGTGTCTCTCGGGTGTTTGGACCTTACTCAACATATATTAATTTTGCTTACGTTAAATGCCTGCTCTCTGTTGAAAGAGGCAGAAAAACATGTAGTGTTGCTAAATCCAGTTGGCTTTGTTAGTTCTTATTTCTAAAATGGCTTCTTAAACAATGATCTGTGAAGGAACTAAATCTATCATGGAGCTAAATCTCATAAAACACAAATTTTATGAGATTCAATCTCATTTCATTGTAAAATTTCTATGTGTAGATTTGACGGCCCAAACTGTCTGGATATATGGAGAAGATAGGAAAATACAGAGTAGAATGGATGAAATAATTGTGAGTTTGTGGCTGTTGAATAATCATACCTAGAGAATTTAGATTAGTGGTAATTATTAGCCTCAGCAGAAGTTTATAGTGATTTGCTCAGGGTTGTACCATACACCTCTGTGTTTGTAGCCATATATCTCTGTATTTATAAACAGATGTTATCCTCAAGAAAATGAGATTGGACAGAATGTTCAAAAGAAATACAATATTAAAAAGGAGCTCTCCTGTCATGATACATACCCATCACTAGAAAAGAAAAAGGTCGATACGTCTGTCTTAACCGGTGAGGCACCACTACCTCCTTTGCAACCAGAACCCAGTGACGTGCATCTAGAAGCAAAAAACTTCCCGTCACAGAAAGAAGTTGTTGCAATGACGTCACCTAAAACCATTGCTATGCTACCTCAAATGGGATCCAGCCCTGATGTGATAATTGAAGAAATTATTGAAGAAAACCTGGAAAGTAAGTGAAAATGTAAAAAAGCAGGGGAGAAAAAAATCTTTTATCTGTAATTAGAAAGAATTGGTATCTTTTCGTTCTGTGCATTTAACAGAAACATATTGCTGTTACAATCTTATTCTTCATTATGAGTTAAAACCTACTGATTCCTTGCCCCTACTCTCACATTTTCCAGAGTTAGGATAATTTTTATTTTCAATGTGGTAATATAGCTACCCTCTGAATTGTAAACTTAATATCTGGTTTAATTAGGGTATTTGACTTTTTTAGTGTTCACATATAAACCTTTTATAAAAGATATA